ATGAGTAGTTGCCAGGTAAGGATGTCACAAATGAGGCAGGTGGGTGTGACCAAAGAGGGGACAGCTTGGTGACTTTTCTAGGTGCGGACAGTTCTGTATCTTAATGACAATAGGTTTTATGTGACTCTGCAGCAGTGGTAAAATGGCGTAGAACTCTAGACACACGAGATACCGACTGCACTCATCTGAGCTTTCTGGGTTTTCTCTTGAAATGTAGTTGAGTGAAGGGCACAAATGAGGACCATGAGAGTCCCCTGGGTGACCTTCCCTTGCCTGTAAGAGCCAATAGCTTTTAATTGTCCATTTGGAGGAGACTGTATAAACTATGTAATAATGCAACTGGGGCAATCTATGCAGCAATTTAATGCATTTAATGAATTAATATGTTTAATGCAGCCATTTAATGGATTTGTCTGAATCCAGGCCAATGTGTCAGAGAGAATCTCTCTTTTTTATCCCTCAAAGATGGAGTCTTGCTCTATCACCCAGGCTGGAGTGCAGTGGCATGATCTCGGCTCACTGCAACCTCTGCCTCCTGGGTTCAAGTGATTCTCCTGTGTCAGCCTCCTGAGTAGCTGGGATTACAGACACCTGTCATCATGCTGTCTACTTTTTGTACTTTTGTAGCGATGGGGTTTCACCATATTAGCCAGGCTGGTCTTGAACTCCTGACTTCAGGTGATCCGCCCACCTTGGCCTCCCAAAGTGCTGGGATTACAGGTGTGGCCACCGCACCTGGCCCCAGATAGAATCTTGTTTTTATGCAGAGTTGGTTGAAAGATCTTGAGGCTCTCTAGACCAAGAAAGCCTTTCTCCTTTTGTGCAATTTTGTACAAACTGAGGCTGAACTTCTGAGTCTGGACCAAATGCAGTTGCCATGGAAGCAAAAGTTCTCTTTTTATCTCTGTGCTCTTCTTCCTGAGATCCTGGCAGTAACTGGTTATGACGGTTTTTCCACAGGATGGTGCAGCCGCTGCATATAGGGCAGGGAGGACTGCAGCGGGCTAAGTTTCAGTCATGTCTTTGATGATGCGATGGAGGAAAAACTAAGATGCAAAGCCTAAGGCTTACCGTGGCCTCTGAGTGACCGGTGTTCATGTCTTGCTGGGCCAATGTTGGAAATAGATGTGGGAAACAGATGCTCCATGCCACAAAGAAAAATTAGCACTGAGACAAAAGATCTTTTAGCAACCCAATTTTTACTTGCTGAGCTGCAGGAAGGGTACCTTCACTAGCCATCTTGCCATGAGAGTACAGTGAACAAAGGAAAACACACCAATTTATCCCTTACACATTTGGGGTTGTCCTTACTGCTGTGTCTAACCTCCATTGGCTGGAGCCAGACCTCACAATCTAAACTAAAACCCGATTGGCTAATAACTTAAAACTTTTCTAAACAGGTAAGAACAGTGGAGAGTTGGGACATGCCTATGAGCACATCCAGGGCAGATATCTTGGTTAAAGTACAAGGACATAGAGTGTATTGTGTGCCTGTAAACATGGCATGTCTAACAGCTGCATAGGATAGGGCTTAACAAAGTTATTAGCACACATATTCTTTAACACGAAAGGAAACTTTCAAAAGGAGCTTTTCTACTTCCCACAGCCAGTTCCTTGGTGCGTGATCTGAGCCCCTTGCAGGGAAGAGACCAGTCATCAGCACTGGCCTCCCCATTGCTGAATCCCGTTCTGTGTGGCAGGAACCTTGTTTGAAATGACCTTACTTGTTTTCTGTCCTCCCCCTACTCAGAACATCAGCTCTGTGAGTGAAGACAATTACCTTGTCTGTCTTATCTGTCCCCAGATAAGGAGTTGAGGTGGCTCAACTCCTGGCAGATCCTGGGGAAGGTCCCAGACAGCTTAAGATCCCGACCCCCGCAGGGTTACATCATAGAGATCCAGAAGGCTGTCTGTCCTCAAGTTGTAGCCATTGTATTTAAACACAAGTCAGGTTTGGGTATGAGTTCTGCAGTCACTCTTGAGAGATGGTGAGATGTGGGTCTCCATCTGTGGAGGTCTGACCCGCAGAAGCTGACTCAACAATGGATGAATGGATGCACTCTCACACCATTACAGTGATTCAAGTGGGCTAGCGATGGCCGTTGGCTGCTTTCAGAGGACGAAAATGCAACTGATCGACCCAGACCCTCTGTCCATCCACACTTTCATTCATAACAGAGGTTCTAAGTCAACACTCTTGTGGATAGTTAAGAGAATAGTTTTAAGACTGATAAAAGCTTTAGTTCTGGGGCCCAGAGTAAATGCTGTTAACAGGTAATTACCCTTTGTTCTTCCCTGAAGAGAGCCACCCAGCACAAAAGTTAACATGAGTACACAGTTAGAGTGGAGACAAATGGGTGTAGGGTAAACAGACTTAAACTGGGAAAATCCTCCTATTTTCTCCCTAACTTAATGGACCGGCTGGCCACCTCTGGCCTGTCCCAATAAATCCTTTTGGCCTTCCAAAAGGTTTGAGGCTATAATCTATAACCTTCCCTGAATCTTTTCTGAAATATTTTGCCGCCACCTTCAGTGAATAGCAAGATGGGACAAGACTCCCAGCCACTCAGTGACTTTCACTTGTTAAGAGAGTCCTTCCTCGGAGACTCCTTGATGGCAGGGATAGCTGGGTCCAGTCACCTCTGGCTGGGCACTTTCTGCCTTATTTCCAATGATTGGAAAGCTCTGTTTCCTCCCTTCCCATTTTTATCTGTTCCCAGATTGTCTCGCCCCTTTGTCTCAGGATCCGTTGATCCTTCCCCCATCATAAGGCATCCCCAGCTTCCTTCTGCCTGCCATGAGCCTTGCTGGTCCTGGACACTTAAAACAGTAGTAGTGGCAGCAGCAGCAGGAAGGAGCTAATGTCTGTGGAACTATTTTTATTTATTTATTTTTATTATATTTTTGAGACTGAGTCTCGCTCTTCTTGCCCAGGCTGGAATGCAGTGGCATGATCTCAGCTCACTACAACCTCTGCCTCCCGGGTTCAAGCAATATCCTGCCTCAGTTTCCCAATTAACCGGGATGACAGGCATGTGCCACACCTGGCTAATTTTTGTATTTTTAGTAGAGACAGGTTTTTGCCATGTTGGCCAGGCTGGTCTCGAACTCCTGACCTCGAGTGACCCACCTGTCTTGGTCTCTCAAAGTGCTGGGATTACAGGCGTGAGCTACATGTCTGTGGAACTATTAAAAGCAGTGAGGACTGCGTGGGGGTGCACGTGCATCTGAGGCACTTGTGTCTACAGCTGTGATGTGGTCAAGGCATCACTTGGCATCTGGAACTTTTTCTGTGTATTCTGCCAGGTCAAGCCATGTCTTACCCTTCTCTGCAACCCCCTGGTGGTGGCCTGGTGAGTCCAGGGGCTCAGGGATGGGACGGGTGGGGAACCTGAATGCCTTCCTGATGTTGCCTGAGGCTTGGCCCTGTTTGGGGAAATTCAAGTCAGCTGCTGGGCCCAGGTGGCTCGGATCGTATAGGGTGCAGCTGCAGATCTCTCCTGCCACACCCGGAGCCCAGGTTTGTGCTGTCTCCAGGCCCTGAGATTCCTCCTCTTCCTACAGCAGCTGCTTCTTTCCCACCCCTTGTCCTCACCCCATCCAGCATCCCTGGCCCCCCAGATCCCAGGGAAGTTCCGTTCCTTCCCATCTCCAATTAATACCCGGATGGAGGTGGGAACCACCTGCCCCCCACACCACCCTTCAGCAGGCAAGTGTTAAAAATCACAAGATCCAGAAATTTGGAAAGGAGACTTTATTTTTATAAAGGGCCACAGCCTGTGGCACAGGCTAAGGGAAACCCCCCCCAGTCGCCCAGGGGAATGGGCCGGCCAGGTTGTAAGATGCTCATGGAAACAGAGTATAAGACTCCAGGAAGCAGAAACCAACAGGTGCATTTTGATTTGGAAAAATGTAAATAGGTCATCTACGTGAGTACTGCACACAACACATCATCATCTGGTGCAATGAGAGAAGGAGCAGGGTTTTGACAGCATCTGATGCAGAATTGAGCTTCCTGCACACACACTGGGAAGACAGCCGTTCACAGCCTGCCTCTAGGGGACACAGGCACAGTCACAGTCACACAACCCTCTTGATCCCTGACATCCTGTAGTGTCTTTGGTTTAGCTGCCTCTGGCTCAACCTGGCTCAACTGGCTATTTCCTCAGCCCAGCCATGGGGATGAATTTCTCTTCCCATTGGCTAGATGGGAGCAGCTTGTCAACAGACAAATTGGCAGAGAAATTGGCTGGTGGTAGATTTGGTTAAACAACCTCCCTGACAGCAGACAGGGGCATTGAGAGAATGCTCTGACCACTTCAACCTCCATCTCCGCTAACACGTGCTTCCTCATGCCGTTAATCATGTTTTGCAATAATCTCTGCTAAGAGCCACCGAGATTCTTTGTGGTCTAATTGAGATTCCAGTGGGTTTCCAGTTTTAGTCTGAGCTGGAATCTGATTCTTTCGGAAGGCAACAGAACATCCAGAGCCAGATTTAGTGGGGATTGTCCTGGATGTGACGAAAGACAATCAGAATTAGAGGCTACTCCGAAAGGGAAAACGCAGAGGACGCGGGTGTGGGAGAGTGGGCTTGGCTGGCTAAGCTCTAAGTCAAGCATTATAAATATTATAAATTAATAAATACATTTATAAAGATGATAAATAAATATTTCTGAAACCACAAAATATATTTTTAAAATGCATGACACTTTCCAGTACAGATCATTCTGATTGGAAGATGGGACTGACCCAAGGTACAATTTCTCATCCAAAAGATCCTAAGTTGCCCCCAAATGAAATACTGACTGCAGTCCATCTTCAGTGTGGGATGATTAAAGCCCATGCAGGGCGCCGCCTCCTCTCCAGGGATGGGACGGAAATATTCACTTAGAAGGGAGGCGGAATTGGGAACGAACCGTCGCTTCCCTGACGACGGCTGCGCAGTGGGCTCGTCCGGCGTTTCCCGCTAGGGACGCTGACTCCGGGGCCGCGCACCCGTAGCATAAATAAAGGTTTTATTGGTCAGTTTGGGCGAGTGACGACCCCCAATTCACTATTCCACATATCCAAGCCCCTGAGGTGGCGAGAGGAGCAGCTAAGCTTATTGATGGTGGGCAATGGGTGAGAGGTGGAAAGGACTTGAAGGCCTCTGAGGGTTAACAAAACTATCGGGACCAGAACCAACGAACGTCCTAGGAATAAGTCCAGGATGGAGAAGGCATCATCCAGGGCTGGAGGTCTTGGTGATTCTGGATCACCCTAGGACTGCTATCTGCTTCATGTCCAGTTATTGCGGCCTCTGTCCAGCCCTCACTGTCCACCGCTGTCCTGCGCTCCTCCACTCTCCCGTCTGGCTTAGTGATCTTGGTCACAGAGATGCTCTTGAAATAGGATTGAGGCTGGGGCTGTAGAACCGAGCCAAGACCCTCCTGGGCAACCCGGGAAAAAAGATCATTGTCCTCTCTGGTTCTAGGATGGGGTCCACAGGCCATATGTCATCAAACCTATGGGAGCCCCAGTCTGGTGCTGGTTTGGGGGATTCACTTCTTGCATCACTCTCCAAGAGCCCCCCAAAGATCCTGGGCTGGTGACTCTCTGGATACTTAAGCACTGAGTCCCGAAGTGTTCGTCCCTACCGCAGTCTCTCACCAGGTGTCTCTGCCTCAGGACCTGGAAGTTCAGAAAGATGGGTTATAAATTTTGTTTTAAGAGGGGCTATATTTTTCATTTACTTAAAACCCCACCTGTATGAATGGGTTGGTGGTGAAACCTTGGAGTGGTTGGTGGGGTCATCTCTGACCCACTAGTGACGGCAGGTACCCTGGTCTTTTGTCCCTGGTTTTCCCGTGAACACCTGGGAGGCCAGGGTGGGACGGTTCACACATTGACAGGTGGACCCTGTTTCTTACCTGAAGCTCCCTGGGATGGTGGTAGTGGAAGCAATGGTGGTAACAGGAATAAACTAGCAAACGCTGATGTATCTTTGCGTCTTCACACTGCTTTCCACTAACTTTCCATGTAAGCCTCAAAATGAAAAGAAAACATTTATGCGGCCAACAAACATGAAAAAGGGCTTATCATCACTGGCCAGTAGAGAAATACAAATCAAAACCACAATGAGATACCATCTCATGCCAGTTAGAATGGCAATCGTTAAAAAGTCAGGAAACAGATGCTGGAGAAGATGTGGAGAAATAGGAACACTTTTACCCTGTTGGTGGGAGTTTAAATTAGTTCAGCCATTGTGGAAGACAGTGTGGCAATTCCTCAAGGATCTAGAACCAGAAATACCATTTAACCCAGCAATCCCATTACTGGTTATATACCCAAAGGATTATAAATCATTCTATTATATAGACACATGCACATGTTTATTGCAGCACTGTTCACAATAGCAAAGACTTGGAACCAACCCAAAAGCCCATCAATGAAAGACTGGATAAAGAAAATGTGGCACAGATACACCATGGAATACTATACAGCCATAAAAAAGGATGAGTTCATGTCCTTTGCAGGGAAATCGATGAAGCTGGAAACCATCATTTTAAGCAAACTAACACAAGAACAGAAAACCAAGCACTGCATATTCTCACTCATAAGTGGGAGGTGAACAATGAGAACACATGGACACATCGAGGAGAAGGAGAGGAACATCACATACTGGGGTCTGCTGGGGGGGTGGGGGGGCAGGGGAAGGATAACATTAAGAGAAATACCTAATGTTGACGACGGGTTGATGGGTGCAGCAAACCACCATGGCACGTGTATACCTATGTAACAAACCTGCACGTTCTACACAGATATATCAGAACCTAAAGTATAATAATAATAAAATAAAATTAAAAAAACCTAGTGTTATATTATGGTAAAGAAAATAATTAGAGAGGGATGTGATTTTTCCCAAGACCACACAGCTAGGAAGTGGCTTGTTCTCTCCAGCTGAGGACTGTGCCTGTTGCCTAGGAGGCCAAAAGAAGACAGACATCCCCCCTGCCTGGATGCCTGGGCATCTCAGGTTTTCTCCTTTTTATCGGGAAGAATAACACATGTCCATGGTGAGAAATGCAAGCAGTGTGAAGGCTAGTCTCCACTCTAGTTCTTTTCCTTTTGTTCTTCTTTCTAGAGGCAACCCCTGTTACCAATTTCTTGTTCATCTTTCCAGAGATGGTTTCTACTCTTTCTAGCATATGTATGTGTGTTTACACACACATAAGGAGATGGCTGTCTTCATGCATGTAATCCCATTTCATTCCTTTTTTTTTTGAGATGGAGTCTCGCTCTGTCACCCAGGCTGGAGTGCAGTGGTACAATCCTGGCTCACTGCAACCTCTGCCTCCTGGGTTGAAGTGATTCTCCTTCCTTTTCCCGAGTAGCTGGGACTACAGGTGTGTACCACCATGCCTGGCTAATTTTTTATATTTTTAGTAGAGATGGAGTTTCACCATGTTAACCAGGATGGTCTTGATCTCCTGACCTCAGGTGATCCATCTGCCTTGGCCTCCCAAAGTGCTGGGATTATAGGCCTGAGTCACTGTGCCTGGCCCATCTTATTCTATTAAACGCATGGGTTCCCATGCGTGGAGTAGCATAATTCATTTTCTAAATCCCCTTCAGATGGACATTTAGGTTGTTTCAAGTCTTACATAAGGAAAAACAACAAGATGCCTGCTTTTTTTCTCTTTTAATTATTTTTTAAATGAAAGTAACATATGTGAAAGTCAAACAGTATAAGAAAACATGTCATAAAAGCTGAGGGTCGCTTGCGTGGTCTCTGCTCCAGGTCTGCTTACCCTGCCACAGCCCTGCAGCCCTGACTCTGCATCCTAGGCTATCACTTCCAATTCCTTTAACTACTTAATCTTGTATTTATTCTCATCTTTCTTTCTTTCTTTCTTTTTTTTTTTTCTGAGATGGAGTCTTGCTCTGTTGCCCAGGCTAGAGTGCAGTGGCACTATCTTGGCTCACTGCAACCTCTGTCCCCTGGGTTTAAGCAATTCTCCTGTCTCAGCCTCCACAGTGGCTGGGACTACAGGTATGTGCCATCACACCTGGGTAATTTTGGTGTTTTTAATAGAAATGGGGTTTCACCATGTTGGCCAGGCTGGTCTCAAACTCCTGACCTTGTGATCTGCCCACCTGGGCCTCTCAAAGTGCTGAGATTACAGGTGTGCACCACTGTGCCTGGCCCTCATCTTTCTAAGTACTGTGCTTGTGCTGTGACTTTGATCATTTTTGATCCTTTTTTTTTTTTTAACAGTTTATGACTCCTCAGTCAGGAATTGTAAGTCTTAGCCCTCACCCTGTTCACAGACATTACAAACATTGCCCTCCCTCACTTCCCAACAGAGTTATATCACAATTTGTGAACAAATCAATACACAAAGTTCAACATATAACGGCTACTTAAATACCACCGACAACTGAGCCATGTAGTATACTACGAAGACATTTCCTTTCTCACATGACTTTGCATGTGTGGCAGACATTTCAGCAGATCCCCAAAATCCAGGAGTACTGGCCTCACTGGCAGGTCAGGCAAGTCCAGGGAAGAGGAGTTCCCTGACAGGGACCGGCCTGGTTCTAAGGCAGCCCTTTCCATGTGTTACAGAGCAGGTCTCTAAAAGTGGCCCTCAGAGGGAATATGGCATACAGGGTTTGCATCAGGGTCCACACTTATGGAGGGAGGAAGGACAGTATTGGGCAGAGTTCAGCCATGCGGTGGGCCTGGCAGAACCTTGGCCCAACTCCCTGGGAGCTTCAGGGTAAACCTGTCCCACCAGAGTTATTCCCTGTCCAGCTAAAATGGCCAGGCCTTCCTTGATATGCCCACTTCCGTCAGCCAGAGATGTGGATGCTCCTGGAAGAATGAGTCCTTGGGTAAGGCAACTCTCTGTAGCTGAGGCAAATCCTGAAGGCACTGGAGGCCTTCTCTGCCACATGGTATTATGCCCTTTATTGACAGGGGTTTAGGGAGTGTACATCTGTGTCCACCCTGCATGCATGTTCTATACACATATACAACCCACATACACATATACATACACTCACACACAAATGGAAGCATGCTTATTTTGCACTTAATGGTATGACTTGGAGATTGCTGTGCCCCTACCATGGCCCCAGAGTTTGGTTACAGGCAGGCTGTAAGGCAGGTAGCATCCGACGTGCTGCCATCTCCCTGAAGCACCCAGCATGTGGGGATTCTACGTCAGAGTTGGTATTGGGGTGTGCAAACAAGGAAGAAAGGACAAACTGTAACCTCACGGGACTCATGGCCTGGTCATGGGGCGGAGGCAAAAATCATGAAGGAACAAGGTCCCAGGGTGTGGCCTTCCTGAGACAGTGGGTGGTTGGGGATGGGGGGGACCAGGCTGGCTGGAACTGTTGGGGGTGGGAAGGAGTGGTTCCTGTGGTTCTTGAGGAAGGGACTGAGCCTGGGCTAAGCAGGAAGTGCAGAGAAGGGAAAGGCATCACTGGTGGAGAAAGTAGGAGCAATGGGTGGGAGAGGGTGCAGTGAGGGAGCCCAGGCCAGGCCACACCTGTGCTGGGGGCTCTGCAGGGGGTCCACTGGGAGGCTGAGTGGCCCATCCCCAAGAGAGATGACTTCGGAGACCTTCCAAGGGACTTGCTGGATCTCCACCAGGTTTCTGCCATACCTCGCCTCTGCAGCAAGCAAGTCCCAGATTCTCTAATTCTCTGGCTCTCAACATCCTTGCAAAATGTTCCCTAAGACAGAGAGAGGAGAGGGACCCATCCCTGCAAACCTGGGACTCCACCAGGGGGATGGGATTCGCTTCTTGGCCTCCCTTTGGGGACCCCATGGGGCTCTCTGGACCCACGAGGTCTGCAGGCCAAATCTATCGGTAGCAGCTGGAGAATCCCACAGACACGGATGCATTTTCAAAATTCCTCAGAAATATGACTTTTTTTGTAATAAAAATATTTGAGTCTGGATGCAATTTAGCCCCATAATATAGTGGTTTGCTTAATGACTGCAGAATATTGTCTTATCTGAGGAGAAGCAGGGTGTTTTAAGACCACAGAGTCCAGAATTCACAGCTTGGAATTTTCACCCATGCTGGCTGTTAATTGACTTGAGCCATTAAAGGGAAAGAATTTCTGGCAAATCCTGAGGTACTTGTGCAAATCCACAGACACGCTCAAATCCTTTTAAAATAAGCATCCGGCGAGCCAACCATTTCAGAAAAACAGCTGCCTCATCGGAAGGTTTGCAAAGGCTTCTGTGGCTCCCAAATAAAGTTTCTGCACGTGGTTCCACTTCCTGACAAAGACCAAACCTCTAAAACCTAACCGCGTATTTAGCAGACACTGGCGGAACTGTGCGGAATTTTGATTTTCTTGGGAAGAATGGAAAGACCTCGTCGCCCACCTCAGAGCCACGTCTTCATCTGCCATTTTTTGGCACTGTGGGTCTTGCCTGGCTGTGGTATAAACCAAGGTACACAGGAGAGTCCTGTCCTGTATTTTAGTAGAGATCAGGTTTCACCATGTTGGCCAGGATGGTCTCAATCTCCTGACCTCGTGATCCGCCCGCCTTGGCCTCTTAAAGTGCTGGGATTACAGGCGTGAGCCACGGTGCCTGGCCTTGTGGAGGTATTCTGATCTAATCTTCATCCAACAAGACAGCGTGGTTCATTTCTCTGGGCTAACCAGTTGCATTTAAAACTTTCTCCCATGAACTTTTCAACAATAGTAGTAATGATGGGTTGTGCATAACTTATCCTTATGCCTTGAGGATGATGTGGGGAAAAGAAAATCTTCTGAGCAGCATGTATGTTCAGCCCGAGAAGTCTCAGTAAAGACGCCAGGCTCCGAGCTGTAGGGAGAGGTGCCTGCCTCCTCTCAGGATAATAGCCCACAGATCTCAGGGTGACCGCAGACAGCCTCGTAGGAGGCAGTGCTGTGCAGTGGTCAGACCCAGGGACCAGGCTCTGGAGCCCCCAGCTGCCCAGGTTCAGAGCTGATCTGTCCCTGGCCAGCTGGTTACCCCCGAGCAGATGGCTTCACCACTCTGGGTGCATTTCCTCATCTACAAAATGGGACTGCCACTGTACCTACCTCACAGGGTCCTGGAGGGAGTTCTGTGGACTAACAAGAGCACAGAATACCATCTGGCACACGGTATGCGTTCAGTAAATGTCAACCTTCCCCACAGCAGCTGCAACTTCTGAAATATTGGAGATGGTGGAAAATGTGCAGATTTGTGGTAGGATGTAGGCTGGCCATGGTGAGAAAATGAAAGTGTTCTTACCTGGGGCTTATCAGTGGCAGTGACTGCTTCCGGAGCAAAAGGGCAATGTTGGCAAGGTCAGACCCTGGCCCCTCCCCAGCCCCTCCTCCAGGCAGCATGGCTTCCTTGCTGCATTGGAATCACTTTCGGAGCTTTCAAAACAAATCGGATGTCTGCACCCAATCCCCAGAGACTCTGATTTAACTGGCCTGCGTGTGGCCTGGACACTGAGATTCCTAACGTTCCTGGGCCACTGAGACCCTAAAGCCTGTGGGTGACAAGGGGGCAGCTGTGCTTCCTCCTGGTGGCCCCAGCACTGCAGCCACAGGGGCCCTGTGTTTCACAGAAGCCCAGGGTTCCCTCAGTGATTGGCAGATGCCTTTGAAAATTCCGCTGCAGGTACCCTGCAGTCCCAGCACTTAGGGAGGCTGAGGCGGGAGGATCACTCAAGCCCAGGAGATGAGCATTGCAGTGAGCTATGATTATACCGTTGCACTCCATCCTGGGAAATAGGGTGAGATCCTGTCTCTTAAAAGGAAAGAATCAAGGAAAATTCCACTTCTGAAAGGGAAGGGAAATGGCCTCGTCTCATTCCCAGAGCACACCTGGAGCCTGACAAACTATGGTGTGGCCAGACCCCTTAGGAGGGGAAGGCCATCTTGCTCACAGCTCCGCTTCCCCCACCCAAGGCAAAGTTTGGCTCTGAGCTGTTCTTCCCCTTCCGGGCACCTGTGAAGTCTCTGGTGGTCCAGCCAGGTGGTGGGTGGAGTTGGGCTGGCCCTAGGAATGCTGCTGGTTCAGGCAGAAGGTCTCCCTGGCTCAGGCTCTGTGCTGCCTGCTTCAGGCCACCCTGCAAGGGTGTGAAGTTGTTTTCACTCCGACCTCAGCTCCAATCAGGGGGATGCTCACTGCCTGTACACACCTGCACGTCAACAGGATGGGCTCTGGTAAAGGTAAGGGTGTGTGGGGGAAGGCAGAGGGGTCCAGTACAGTACTGGGGTGAAGGGAGTGGTTCATCTTTGAGTGAAGTGCCAGTGGTTCATATTTACAACCTTAGAATTTGAGAAGGTTCCTAAGGCCTCCCGACTCACTCCATCCACACTTGAAGAAAACCACAAGCGCTTAAGGAACAAAATAATGTTTTTATTAAAAATTGTACCCATAGCACCTCTCTGTCTTCCTACAAGTTGTTTATTTTTTTCTTTTTCTTTTTTTTAAAATGAGATCTGGTTTTCTGCACAATTTCAGAAAATGTTGTAGGGAACACTTCAGGGCTGACTGGGGCACTCCCTAAACCAGAAGGTGACACGGGAAGCAGATGTGTCCCAGCGGGCGAGCTCAGCTCAGGGGTTTCCACTTGTCCTCACCTTTCAGACTGGATCCATGCTACAGGGACACGGACTGACAGGGAGCCACACTTAGGAACATAGACGGGTTGCTCATTGGGAGAACACACACAGCTACACTGTGTGCCATGAATGCATAAGAAATAAAAACCATGCAGCTAGCTGTTACGCAAACACCATGCTTCAGCCCAGTCGCAGTCAGATACAAGCATGGCCTCCGGAGAACCGTACGGAGTGAGCCACCTCCTGCGGCTGTGGAGGCACCTTTTGCGCAGTGGCTGTCTGTGCCTCCTCTCCCCTGACCCTCATTATTTTGCTATGGCATTGAATTAAGTGTGCCTTATAAAAGCAGGCATGGAGAGAAGCTGAAGGGGAGGCTGGGGAGAGGGGCTTGGGCTGGACCAATTCACCCAGAAGGTGGCCGAGCAGGAGGTGGAGGGGACATGGCCTAGCAGCTCTCAGCTCACCTGCCTGGAACCTGTGTCCTGGTGCCCGAGGAGGAGGGAGCTCTACACACCCATCCCCGTGGCTCACACGGAGCCTCCTTGGCCCTCCGTAACCACATCCTCACAGGGCCAAACAATCTGAAATGAACTGCATCAGGGGTGGGGGAGTGGGGTGGGATTAGGGGGTAGGTGTGGGGGGTGGGGAGACTCAGCCACTGCCGTCACGAAGCAGGAGAGAGCGGGAGTACGTTCCGCCTAGGCTGGCTTAGAGACATTTTGCTCGACCTCTTTTCAAAACCGAGATTAAAATACAATATCCATCTTCCTAGGGTGTGATTTTCTTTCCCTTCCCTGAAGATGAGGAGTGAGGAATAGATGCTTCTCAAAGGCCGTATTGCTCTAAAAGGCTGAAATCAACCTGGAAACACCCAATGCTGTTCCTTCGCACAGGTGGGTCTCATGGGACAGGGTCGCTCTGAGTGATGGGTGTGGGCACCATCCCAAGCACAGTCCAGCAGCAGCCAGGAGGCCAGCACAGCCTCAGATGGTACACCCCGTACAAATCAAGGTTTACTAAGAGTGGAGGGAGACAGAAAACACGAGTTTGAAACGAAAGTGTCATGATGTTGTATCGAAAACCCGAGAGTGAAACACACCTTGAACCTGGTCATCCTCAACCTCTCTCCTGGGCATTTGCAGCCACATCCTTACGGCTGAAGGGAGCAGTCTGAGCGCACAGAAGGCAGCGCTGTCCTTGTTCTCCGTTTATCGATTCTCTTCTGAGAAATTCCAGTACTTACATCCTGGCTTCCTGCCCATTACGCCCTCTCCGGGGCTGAGAAGTAGGACGCAGCTCTGTCCGCTGAGGCGAGTCCTGTCCAGAGAACTGTGGGCTGCAATTCTCACGCGGAAGTGGCTTTGGGCAGAGCATCTAGGATTTTTGGCTTAGAAGAATATTTCCCCCTCCACTCAGAAAAGGGAGGAGAAAAGGAAGAAGGAATGGGGAGGGAGGAAGGGATGGAAGAAGGGGGGGAGGAAGGAAAGAAAAGAGGGAGGGAGGAAGGAAGGAAAGGAGGAAGGGAGGGCAGAAGTGGGGGAGGAAGAGAGGGAGGGAGGAAGAAAGGAAAGGAAGGAGGAGAGGAGAGAGAGAAAAAGGAAACTTTGCATACTGTCTAATTTTGGAAGGACTGAAAGGGGTTTCCACCCCACACAACACTCCTTAGTCTCCTGGGGCCACACCTAGCAACGCTGACAGCAGAGAATCCAGACAATATCCAAACCCTCTGCCCATAGAGGTGCACAAGACATCTGGGAGGCCACACTGTCTGCACGTGGCCAGGAGAATGGCCCCTGGTGGCACTGGCCAGATACTGCTCAGCTGTCCCCTAACCTCAGGTCACTGGGGGAACAGCACCTGCCATTCACAGTGCACAGTGGGGCATTGACAGTGATCTTGAATCTTGTGTGTGTCATGCTTCTGCTGGTATGGGGGCACTTGGGGGCACTTACAGGGACCTGGAGCACACATGCCCATGAGCACCAGCAGGGCACCCATTCCATCCAGACCCAGGCCCCAGGCTGAGGGGTGGACTACCGCAGCCCAGTCATCTGTTGCAAAAATGATGTTGAGGGGCTGGAGGCATGGCCATGCCTGGACTGTTAAGTTTTCCAAAGCAGTTCATACTATTTTCATCTAGCCAAAAGATTTAAACCAAACAAGGATGATTAAAGAAAAAAAAATGTTTCTGGAAAACCTGTTAAGGCTAAAAGCTGGCCTCAGACTGGGAGAGCAGGCAGCAGCAGCACCAGTGGTGGAGAAACAGTGGCAGCCGAGGGAGGCAGGACAGAGGGAGGGGGCGGCCTGGTGTGCACGAGGCAAGTCGGGAGCATGTATTCTCAGAGCTGTTTTGCTTTATTTGCAGACACTGTTGCTTTTCATCTTTTCCACATACAAAGCTGAACAATGAATAAAAAGGCACCTGGAGACAGCAAAGACGAATTCATTTCATGTGACATTGTTTAAAAAAAGATAAAAAGATTTAAAAAATACTCTGGTTAACAATGCGCACTTCCTACGTAACAAGCAATCCTGGAGATGCCATCCTGTGTTCTCGTGTCCCGTGGAGTTGGCCGTGTGCTGTGTTGTGGGGAGGAGAGGGCCGGTGTGGCTCCCACCCTGTCAGGTGGGAAGGAAGGAGGAAGGACAGGCAGAAGAGCCTCAAGACCGCACCATGGCAGTGATGAAGACAGTGGCAGCTGGGTCACACCTGAACATCCCTGCCTGGCCGTCAGGAACCTGAAAGCTGAATCCTTGCCTAGAAACGGCTGAGTGAGAACATTTTCAGAAACGGATGAAGTTGGGACAAAAAGCGTGAGCCCAGGGAAAAACGTTCGCTTTTCAGACCCCAGGAGTGAGCTGCGAGCCAGGGTGTCCTGTGTTGAGAAGAGTGTGAGCGCTGGTTCTCTGGAAGAGGAGGTAGAAAGAGACAGGGACCAGCCGGGGCAGCTCTGAGATGTCACCTGACTCTCCACTCCCTCTCCCTGCTTGAGCCTTCCTAGTTGGTCTTGAAGACGGAGAAACCCAGGGCTGGGGAGGTCTGAGATCCTCCCAGGCCCCGGAGGTGCCAAGCCATTGCACCAGTGAGATACACCTTCTCTTAAAAAGAAAAGAAAAAGAAAGAAACCTGCTTCCTGCAGCGATGTTACAAAAAGCCATTTAAAAAAATCTTCCTAATTGAAATCTAGTGTCCACAGTAGGTAAAATCATCACTTATCAGAATTTTTTTTAAACAAAAACTTCAGCTTAGTTATTGGAGTTGATTGTCTCAACAAAAATAGACTCCGCAAAGTTCGCCTCCGTTCCGACCTGAGGGAGGCGCGGCACAGCGCTCACACGAAGGAGGAGAAGCCGGTGAGCGGAGTCCGCGCGCCAGGGCCAGCTGGGGTGTAGACGCCGCCAGCGCTCTGCGTGGTGATGACCGGGTGCAGCTGCGCGCCTGCCTCGGCGCCAGCCACCGCCTCGTACCTGTGTGGCGCAGGTGCGCGGCCCTGGGCCCGGCGCTTCCACGAGTTGTAGTAGGTGGGGTCGCTCATGTAGTGGTTCACGAACGAGTGCTTGGGCAGTGCCTCCTCGTAGTCGGAGTCGGTAGCCTGCAGGGCAGGAGAGAGGCAGTGTGAGCGTAGGGCAGGGCGTGGCCACTGCCTGCCGGAGCATGCTGGGCGAGAGGCCTGGCGGTGGGGGCACCTCGCCGGCTGGGGGGCCGTGTCGCGGTCTCAAGCCCTCTACCCCTCTACACGGGAGAGCAGGCAGCCGCCACAGGTCTCCCTCTCTGATCCAGGCCTGGCCAACACTGCTCTCTCAGCTGCGTGCAGCCCCCTCACTCTGCACCAGATGATCTCTGAGAAGAGCGGGGCCTCCACCCAGGAGAGGTGTACACGGCTTCCTTTCCTCAGGAGAGGTCTACACCGCCTCCCCACTCCAGGAGAGGTCTACACGGCCTCCTCACTCAGGAGAGGTCTGCATGGGCTTCCCACCCCAAGAGAGGTCTACACAACCTCCCTATCCCAGCAAAAGTCTATGTGGCCTCGGCACACAGCCCCGAGGGGACTTTGCCTGTCCCATGGACCGTAACATAGAAGAGTCCCAGGGCTGGGGGAAGATCCTGGTCTTCGGCTTGCCTGAGACTAAGATGTGGGCTGCTACAGGCCAAAGTGAAAGGATTTTGGAGGTGATGAGGCAGAGGGGAAGAGTGGAGAAGGGAGGGGGGGGTGCATCCCCCCCTTGCAAGTGACCCTGCAACATCACATCCATGGAGCTCTCCAAGGGTGGGGAGGCCAAGAAATGAAGCCGCCTGAATAAGCCAGTGTCTCATATGTCTCCCCCTGCCAGGTACTGAATGGCCTCACCCCTCAAATACCTGGAAAAGTGGCCTAGGGCCTCCCACTGATGTTTGAAGATGAGTCCCTTCGAGTTTTTTCCCCCCTTTTTATAAAGTAAATCAGCAGATTCCATTAAAAACATGGACTCCACATATTTTCTATGATGTAAAGTCGTTGGAAGGCCTGTTAAAGGAGAAAGCGGACTTTGGGAGGCTGAGGCGGGCGGATCACAAGTTCAAGAGATCGTGACCAGCCTGGCCAACATGGTGAAACCCCATCTTTACTAAAAATACAAAAATTTGCTGGGTGTGGTGGCGGGTGCCTGTAATCCCAGCTACTTGGGAGGCTGAGGCAGGAGAATTCCTTGAACCTGGTAGGCAGAGATTGCAGTGAGCTGAGATCACGCCACTGCACTCCAGCCTGGGCAACAGAGCAAGACTCTGTCTCCAAAAAAAAAAAAGAGAGAGAGAAAGTAGAGGCTAAAATGGGTATTTTTTTTTCCCCAAGAAGGTGAAGGTCTCAGTTTTGCTGGTAAGTGCCACATCCTCCCAGATGCACGGAATCATAACGGGACCCTCACCTGTGTATCCTGGGAGCTTCCTGAGCTCCTAGGGGATCCACCTGCTAACAAAGAGACTGAGACTCGGCTGTGGAACCAACACTAAGATGCTTCCCAGGGCCCTCGTCTCTCACAGGGGTCAGGCGGAGCTGCCCTTTTTCTCTCCCCAGAGGGTATCAGGGAACTGGGGAGGGGGTAAAAGAGTGAGCCACCTTGAAATGCCATCTAAGAATTATCAGCTGTGTGTTGAGGTAGCAGATTCCTGGGTGTGGCTCCAGTGATCCTGACTTCGTGGGTCTGGGGGAGGTCGGGAATGTGCATTTAGAGGCCCCCTGAGGACTCTGATCAGCGATCAGGCTGGGAGCTGTGCCTTGTTCGTGTTAAGATGGGGGGCTGTGGCTCCAGATGTGGGCCCCATTGCCAGCCACAGCAGCTCTTTCAGAAGTAAACATTCTAGAAGGAAAGTTGCAAATCCAGTTCCCCCTAGGGTGTGTGAGTGCCCTTGCAGCTAGCGGGGGAGGGGGGGGCAGGGGATGGGAGAGCTGCCAGCTCCCCTAATTTTTCAGGGAGTCCACACCGAGACCCAGGAAAACAGAAGCATCCCTGGGTGCGATGTTCCTGCCAGCTGCTCTCTCATCTGACAGTCAGAGAGTGAATTACCCACATCAGCACCCAGGCAGGAAGATCTGATCCTGAGCTGACACCATCCCACACCAGGGGATGTGCGTCCGTCCCGGAAGCCTGTGAGAGCAGTCAGCCTCCAGGCTGTGCAGAAACCCCATGGAGGTGTAGCAGGGAGCCAGAGACTCCTGGGATTTGGGGACACAGTCTGAAAATCTAGCTCTAACTGGAATATTTACGTGAAAGTAACGGTGAGTCACAGATTTGGGACTTTTCTGAATATTAAGTGTAAACTGTTTGGTTTATGGTACAATAAACAGAACAGCTGAATCCATCTGTGGCTCCTCTGCATTTAGGAGAATTGCAGAGGTAAGACATGTCTTCCCACACACACCGGGACCCCCGATCAGCCAGCTTCTCCTTCGTCGGGAGAGGATGATAAACGTGGCAGTGGCTTTTTTGAGAACACAGATTACATACCAGATTAATGCCTCACCATGATCTCTGCAACTGGCCGAGGATCCTATGATGCAGATGTTATTACTCCATTTTATGTATAAAGAAGCAAGACTCAGAGAGGCTGGGTGGGAGCCTGCACCTGAACTCCCAACCCCTGAGGGCTCACCCACCTCCACAGATCCTGCAACTTCCTCCCAGCTCCAGGCTTGAATCCTCTTGGATCTGCTGAACAGGTTCTACAACCCCCTGTTCCAAATTCCAAAACCCACAATGCTCAGAAACTCAAAAGGCTTTTTAATAACTCATTTGGTGGTGAAGGCTGAGCTGACTTGAGCTAACTTGGCAGCTTACCCACAGCTGAATTGATGTAGGGCCATTCAGTGTGAATATTCTCATGTTTTGCTACAAGCAGACTAATGTGTTTGATCACAAAGTGCTGGACTGACCCTACCGGAGCTGTTCCTTAACATACAATATACTCCCAAACTTGAAAAACACAGAATTCTTAAATATACCTGGTCTCAAGGTTTTTAGCTAAGAGATCAGGGATCTGTACTTGTGGCTGTTTAAGATTTATTTATTTAATGGAGTTTCACTCTTGCAGCCTAGGCTGGAGTGCAGTGGCACTATCTCAGCTCACTGCAACCTCCGCTTCCCGGGTTCAAGTGGGTCTCCAGCCTCAGCCTCCTGAGTAGCTGGGATTACAGGTGTCCACCACCACACCTGGCTAATTTTTCTATTTTTAGTAGAGATAGGGCTTTACCATGTTGGCTGGTCTGGTCTCGAACTCCTGACCTCAGGTGATCTGCCTGCCTTAGCCTCCCAAAGTGCTGGGATTATAGGCATAAGCCACCATGCCCAGCCTGTTTAAGATTTATTCTTCATCTGTTTTTTTCTTCTTCTTTTTTTTTTTTTTTTGAGACAGAGTTTCGCTGTTGTTACCCAGACTGGAGTGCAATGGTGTCATCTCGGCTCACCGCAACCTCAGCCTCCTGGGTTCAAGCAATTCTCCTGCCTTAGCCTCCTGAGTAGATGGGATTACAGGCACGTGCCACTATGCCCAGCTAATTTTTTGTATCTTTAGTAGGGACGGGGTTTCACCATGTTGACAAGGATGGTCTCGATCTCTTGACCTCGTGATCCACCCGCCTCCCAAAGTGCTGGGATTACAGGCGTGAGCAACCGCGCCCGGCCCTCTTCATCTGTTTTCTAAAGGCCTTGAGGTGGCTTACAGGTAAACACAAACGGAAGAAAACAGAACAAAGATCATTCGAAAGAAGCCAAAGGAATCTCCATGATTCGCCCCTGAACTGGATTTGTTACTTCTTTAGAGACCAACTTGGAAGTGAAACTTCCTGAAGCTTAGGGAAAATCCCACGTATTGAAATGCAGTGAAGGTATCACTTTTCTCATGAGAAATTCACAGAATGGTTAGGAATGAATGACAGAAATTTAGTGCTAGGTTTCATACACTGAGGTTAGGGTTCATTATCATTTGAAGGTCAAGTATAAGGTTCCAGACTTTCACCTTCTTTTGACTATATTCTCAGGTCCCAGGGGTCTTCCCCGTTCAACTTCCCTACCACAAGGGATCCTGGGGTGGAAAAACAAGAGAAGTGGTGACTGGATTCAATTTCCTCGTCTTGTGTCTTAAAAGAATCAACATCCCCAAATGCACGTGACCTTCTTTGGGTCATACTGGCTGGGGCCAGACTGGGGTCAGAACCAGCCTGGTTTCTCAGTCAAAGGTGGCAGAAATGAAGTCTTTCTGGTAGCAGGGAGGAGAAACCTTCAACCCCAGTTCTAGAAAAGATAGAGAAACCCTATTTATATGGGTGAGTCTTATATGAAAATTGTCTCTGCATGGTGGAGAAATCATCAATTGCAGTGGGAGGGCGTGCCATGAATTCTGTTTCAGTTAGTCTGTCTTGCACCCACTTGGTGACCCTTTGGGCATCTCTCTGCCCCCTGCACACCTCTACCAGGCTGTAGGGAAGCAGGGTTCATGTCAGGTGGGGCCTAGGAGCGGTCCAGAAGGGACCACTGAGCTCTTGCTGGAGTCTACATTTCCAAGAGCATGTCCAGAACTCCTTAGAGAATGAACATGACACGTGGCCCACACCCATCTGCGTGTTTATACTGTTTCCTTCAAGGCTTGTATGTATTTTGCTATGTTATTATGATGTGTTTCCTCAGCCAAAGATCTAAAAGTCCTATAGTTTCAAGAGAAGAGTCTGTGACACATATGGGTGCCAAGAAGGGGGCCTGGCAGGAGACACAAATTGGGAGTACGTGGTTGTCCAGCTCACAGTGATTCCTGTCATTTGCATCTGGGCCTCAACCTCTTCTTTGAAGGAAGCAGTTCTTTTTTTTTCTTCTCTCTCTTTTTTTTCTTTTTTCTTTTTAGACGGAGTTTCGCTCTTGTTACCCAGACTGGAGTGCAGTGGCACGAGCTTGGCTCACCACAGCCTCTGCCTTCTGGGTTCAAGCAATTCTCCTGCCTCAGCCTCCCGAGTAGCTGGGACTACAGGCGCGCACCACCATGCCCAGCTAATTTTTGTATTTTTAGTAGAGTCGGGGTTTCACCATGTTGACCAGGATGGTCTTGATCTCTTGACCTCGTGATCCACCC